CTCCACCCCAAACTCACTCATCCATTTCTTTATGGACCTTGCTTTGTGCACTGGTGCGCAGTCATGTTGGAACAGGAAGGGGCCATCTCTACACTATTTCCACAAGTTGGGAGCATGAAATTGTCCAAAAATGTCTTGGTATGCTAATGCCTTAAGAGTTCCCTTCACTGGAACTAAGGGGCCAAGCCCAACCCCTGAAAGCCAACCTCGCACCATATTCCCCCCTCCAGCAAACTTTACACTTGGCAAAATGCAGTCAGGCACGTACCTTTCTCCTGTCAACCACCAAACCCAGACACTTCCATCGGATTGCCAGGCAGAGAAGCGTGATTCATCACTCCAGAGAACACGTCTCCACTTCTCAAGAGTCCAGTGGCAGCGTGCTTTACACCACTGCATCCGTTGCTTTGCATTGCACTTGGTGATGTAAGGCTTGGATGCAGCTGCTCGGCCATGGAAACCCATTCCATGAAGCTCTCTATGCACTGTTGCTGATCTGAAGGCCACATGAAGTTTGGAGGTCTATAGCTATTGACTCTGCAGACAGTTGGTGACTTCTGTGCGCTTTAGTAGCAAGGAAATTTCTTTGGACCTTTTTGCACAGGTTGCAGCCTATCGCGGTACCACGCTTGACTTTACTGAGCTCCTGAGAGTGACCCATTCTTTCACAAATGTTTGTAGAAGCAGTCTGCATGCCTAGGTGCTTGATTTTATATACCTGTGGCCATGGAGGTGATTGGAACACCTGAATCCAATGATTTGGAGGGGTGTCCTAATAAGTTTGGCAGTATAGTGTAGGTTATATACTAGGGATTACAGATACCATGTTTTTTTTTTTGACCGGCGAGTAAGAGTACCGATACTTTCGGTCAAGTACTTGTCAATACTGAGAACCTCCTACCTTTTGCGGTGTGATTTGAGCCCATACAAAATGAAGAAAAGAATTGCATATGATTTGAACAGGAATGCAGTACGATACCTCAGGGATGTTGAATTTGTATCGCCCTTTTTTCTCAGGAAGATTCCTCTTAATGCAACACAAACATAGTGTGTGTATGTGACACCAGTGAAACACTTTCTCTTTAACATCTATGACCACATTGGTGCTAAAATACACGCAAGATTATAGGTAAAATAAACTGTAATAAACATTAGTTGGGTAACGTATTTCATTAATACTTTCTGTTGAAACGTTGTGTAGGTGATAATTACAGGTACTTCTATAGTGCTGTCAATTTACGCAGCGCTTTACATATATATTGTACATTCACATCAGTCCCTAACCCTCAAGGGGTGTACAATCTAAAGTACAATTCAGTCTTCTACTCAGTTGTTTTTGTACTGCAAAATAGAGCATGAAAGCTGGCTATATACACTGGTCAATGTTTGAACAAATTGGTATATGAACATTCATACGAGAATTCTTTGTACATTCATTGACTGGACAAATGTCGTTCGAAAAGTACTGTACTTCAAAATTTTGTTTCCTTTCAACATTCGTTTTTGGAATGAATGAAACTTCCCAAACGAATACATTTTCTCATCACTGTGGTAGAAAAGGAATGTTGATTAGACTCCACTAATGGTTAGAAAATAAAACCAACAATTTCAAATAAATTTCTAATAATGTTAATAGCCAGCGTTACATAATGGTCGTTTCTAAACAGGCCTGTTGTAGTGGATCAGATTTGCCCTAGGTGGCAGCAAATCCAAGAAGATGTTGTCTATATGCAATGTTATTGTATATATTAGTCTTCCAAAAATAAAACCTTCACAAAGGATTGATGTTATGGAGAAAGTCTACACACAAAGTTGTTTTAGGGAGGATAATGTAACCTGTTAGTTGCACAACCTGTCCCTTTTGTCCTTGTCTGGAAATGCTGCAAGGAAATCTTCACTATGCCTGCACTTAGCACTGCTTTGTGTTATTTGTGTTGAATTTATTGGGCCTCTATACTTTGTGGGGGTTGCCACTTCATTTAAAAAAAAGAGTGCTAGAGCTGTAAACTAAAGGAAGTGTGAAAATTTATCTCCAGTACAATGCAATGTAAGGTGCATCACCAGCACACGGCCATAATTCCCAGCTGAAGTGGTTATTGTAATTGCATCACAAAAATAAATGCAGCTTTTCAGGGCCCTTAGTATGTTGTTTGATGAAAGGGTCCTCCCGAGGCCCCAAATTATGTATGTATTTTTTTTTTTTTTTGTGATGTGATTGCAAAAAATATTTCTGAAGGGGAATTCTACCAGTATGATTGGGATGTATCTTACTTTGCATTGTTCTGCCATAACTGTACCAACCTTATCATAAGGTCTGTAGGCTCTGTGGAGTGCTCTGAACTACAATTTGCTTTCAGGTTTCTCTGCAGTGTTTTAGAGGACACTAGCAATATAAATGTACTGTATTTGCCGGCGTATAAGATGACTGGGCGTATAAGACGACCCCCTACTTTTCCTGTTAAAATATAGGGTTTGAGCTATACTCGCCGTATAAGACTACCCCTCTTCCAACGCACACCAAATAAAAATGAAAAAACATCAGATTTGATTTCAATATGGTATGCTATTTCAGTATGGTATTCCAATGATGGGGCGCTATTCCTCCCACTGACACCAATGATGGGGCACTATTCACTGATACCAATGATGGGCACTATTCCTCCCACTGATACCAATGAAGGGGCACTATTCCTCCCACTGATACAATGATGGGGCGCTAACTGACACCAATGAGGGGGCACTATTCCTCCCACCAATGACACTATTCCTCCCACTGACACTAATGATGGGGACACCAATGCACTATGATACCAATGATGGGGCCTATTCCTCCCACTGATACCAATGATGGGGCACTATTCCTCCCACTGACACCAATGATGGGGCCTATTCTGACAATGATGGGGCACAATGATGGGGCACTATTCCTCCCACTGATACCAATGATGGGACACTATTCCTCCCATTAATACCAATGATGGGGCACTATTCCTCCCACTGACACCAATGATGGGGCACGATTCTTCCCACTGACACCAATGATGGGACACTATTCCTCACACACTGACACTAATGATGAGGCACCATCATTGGTGTCAGTGGGAGGAATAGCGCCCCATCATTGGTGTCAGTGGGAGGAATAGCGCCGGCGCCCAATCACCGGTGAGGAGGCGGGGCCGCGCGACCATCGAGCGGCCGAACTGAAAGAAGGAGCAGCCGCGCTTCCTGGACCGGATCGTCGTGGGACCGGGACCGGAGCCAGGTAAGGTACAGCAGCTCCCTGCCCGCCCCTGTACTTAGTGTCCCTTCCGCCACCGTGCCGCCCCTCGAAAAAGTGCCACCCTGACACCGGCTCGCCGTATACGGCGTATAAGACGACCCCTGACTTTTCAGAAGATTTTCATGGGTTAAAAAGTCGTCTTATACACCGGCAAATACGGTAGTTTACAGACTACAGTTAGCGCCCAACACTGCAGAGGATAATACATTATCCCATAACGTGCTCTACACTTTGTGCATTTTTTAATATCCACACATTGGTTACATATCATTGCTCACAGTACAGTAAATGAACATATGGTACAGTAGAGATTGCCTCTCGGGGGATCAGGAAGGAATTTTTTTCCCAGCAGGAGGAAATTAAATCATGCTTTGCTGGGGTTTTTTGCCTTCCTCTGGATCAACTGTGGGTATAGGATTATAACTTTTTTTTTTTTTTTTTTCTATGGTTGAACTGGATGGACTTCTGTCTTTTTTCAGCCAGACTAACTATGTAACTATGTACCAGCATATCATTTTTTAAAAACTGCGCATTTCGGTTTTCTGCCAAGTGCATTTTGAATTTTTGGTTTCAGCACCCGAATTTTCATTTCGGTGCACCACTAGCTCTAATGCCTCCTCTGCAAGTGTGGTCTGCAGCCCCAATTTTGAGATGTAGGAGTGATCAGGTGGCTTTAGTCACCCAAATCAATTCTACTTTTGTGCAGAACAACCTGCTGATTACTACAGCCATGATCTTGTTTTAACTTGTTAACTGCCATCATGTGTAAGACTTGTCCTTGGCAGTCAAATGGATACACTGTACACAAGAGAAACTATGCGCAACACACATTTGGTAGTCTCTGGATGGACTTTGTCTTTTTTTTCAGCCAGACTAACTATGTAAATGTGGACATAAAGCGATGCACAGAAGGTGTGTTCCCCACAAACATAGGGTTAAGCTTGTGAATGAAGAACATTTGAAGAGAGGAGGAAAATGGGGGGGGGGGGGGTCCTCCATCGCCTGACTTTTCCTTCCGACTGCATCCAAACTCTGGAAATCATGGTGGGGAAATAGGGCACAGAAGGTCCTCATTCAGATGTGGAAGTGCATTCTGTCCAATAGAACTAGAACCAAGTTCACTAGAGTCTGTCATAGGTGCCTTTGCTGGAGACCATGAGTTCCTCCATTTATTTAATGTCAGAAATGGTTTACACTTTTGTGTAGCTGTGTTCCCATTGTAAGGAAGAACAGGAAGCGGGTCTAGCATCTCCACAATTAGGCTACGTTCACACCTGTGCAGGTTGCGTTTGAGCCATTTCTGCATGGTGTTTTGCTGTGCATTTTACATTTTTGCACTTGCGTATTTGACGCGTTTTTGCCATGTTTTTGATGTGTTTTGCATATTTAAAACATTTTTTCTTGTTGCTAGGCAGATTTAAAATGCAGCAAAAAAAAGGCAATACATGCTTTTCTGCAGCTTTTCCATTGGAGTCTATAGAAACAAAAACGCAACTTTTTTGCTTTCAAAAAAGTCCCTTTCCAAAAACCATAAACGGGTGAAAACGTGGAGATGTGAAATCATGTTAAATGGACTGTACTGCGTTTCTGCAAAACGCTTAGATGTGAACCTAAGGTTACATTGTGGTGTTTTTTTATTAGTATTCTTTGTTTTATGTGTGATGTTTGCAAAGTAAATGTTATCTTCTCTGTTTACAGGTTTTCTTTGAAAAGTTCAACAATGTCTGTCATTCCAATGTGCTATGAAACCCAGTATTTTGGGTTCACACCACAGACCTGCATACTTCGACTCTACATTTCATTTCAAGATTACTTATTTTGACATGTTGCTGGTTGTGGAGAGTGTCATCCTGAAAAAACTAGAGAAGTTTCCAAACTCTGGGATAAATCGCTTTGAGATTCGGGAAGGCACGGAAAAATATCTGTCCCTCATTAATGAACGCTTTAATCACCTGTTTCAGAAAATGGAAACCTGTCTTTTAAGACTGGTACTTAATATTCCCAGGAATATTCTGCTATGCGAAGATGAGGTACATGGAAACTATTCCTACAGTAAAGACCAGTTTGATGTGCTCCAGAACGAAGCACAGACATTACGCACGCAGTACAAAGAAGAAAAGAGTGTAACTCAATGCCTTTTAGCTGAACTGGAGGAACAGAAAGCCGTGAAGGCAGAATTGGAAAAGGTACTGGCTTGGTTTGATGGACTGGACAAAATTTGCAGAGAACATGGGATCATAGATCTGATGGAGAGCTTTGCATTCATGGCTCAAACATCAAAGAAACTGCAAGTCTCTGTAAAAGAAATAGATGTAAAGCATAAAAAACTTGCACTTGATGTGACTTCCAGGACTCCAGTTCAAAGAAGAACACAAAGATCTAGCCAAGGAAAACTTAAATTATAATGAGTTGTGCTATCTACCTTATGTCATTGTCATACTGTTATATAAAAATGAAATATAGTATAATTGTATTATAACAGACGTCTGGGGAAACGAAGGGCTCTATTTACTAAAGCTGGTTTACTCAGAATTTCATGCACCTGTGTATGGTAGCCAATCGGCTTCTAAAATCAGCTTGTTCAATTAAGCTTTACCAATAAAACCTGGAAGCTGATTGGTTTCTATGCAGAAGTGCAAGAGATTCTGGGTGAACCAGCTTTAGTAAATAAACCCCTAAATGTCAAAATTTGCATTTGGTTCCAAATTTAATCCCTATTTAAATACCCCTTGTCACACTTATTTTAAATAAAAAAGCTACTCTTGATTTTGGTTCTGTATGCTTAATTACTACTTTATTTTCCTCCAGTGTGTGTGTGGAGGGGTACGGTGCAGTTCTTTAATTATTTCAATACTGGGCACTTTCACCCCCTTCCTGCCCAGGCCAATTTTCAACTTTCAGTGCTGTTGCACTTTGACAATTGTGCAATCATGCAACCCTAATTACATTTTTATCTTTTTGTTTTTTGGGGTGTTTTTTTTTTTTTTTTTTTTTTTTTTTTTGAGACTGAGAGCTTTCTTTTGGTGATATTTAATCACCACTGGGTTTTTGTTTTTGCTAAACAAATGAAAGAAAGCGGCATAAACTTTGAATTGAAAAAAAAAATTCTTGGTTTTGGTTATAAAATTTAGCAACTAAGTAATTTTTTCTCCTTCACTGATGGGCATAGATTATCAGTGTAAATGTCCCCTATCAGAATTGCCAGTTGCCTGCTCTCTTCTCCTCACGCTGGGAGAGCACAAGGAAATGACTATGGACTACCGGCAAGTCTGTTTACTATGTGATCAGGATTGGACACAGCTGAGTACATCGTAAAGAGCGGGATCTGTGGGGTCCAGTGGTGGATGCCCTCCCAGAACTGGACGACTGCACTGTAGCTGTCTTTTGGCCATAGCACATACATACATTTTATATATAGATAAAAAGAAAAATGGATTGCTGCACATAAAAGAACTTTTAATGTAGAAGAATTACCATATAAAAGAGGATCACAAATGGACAAAGCCATAGATAATAGTGTTCAACAAACAGTTTCGGGCTATTATGTTAACGCCCTTCTTCAGATCAGAACTCATAGTAAAGTGATAAATAACACTGATCAATTTTATATAAACCTCATATTTAGAATAAAATATATAATTAACCACAAATTGGATACATATCAGATAAACATCTAATAAATGTGGCTATTTGAGAGTGAAAATTCTGTCAAGAAAAAACGGCCCCATATCAAAGATCTGGAATGCAGACATAAATACCTATTATAAAAAGCACATATATATACATCAAAAGACAAATTTTGTTTTAGAATTTAAAAAAAAAAAAAAAAAAAAAACAAATGTAAATAAGGAATTGTGTGTGTGTGTGTGTGTGTGTGTGTGTGTGTGTGTGTGTGTGTGTATACACAAAAAAATACTCAAGAACAAAAAATAAAACCTAAATCCATTGAAAAAAAATTAAAAAAATAATATAAAATACATTATATCTATTTCCCGACTGCCATATAGCAAAACTATTGCTACAGGGTGGCAGGGCTGCACACAACACGCGTGTGTATATATATGTCATTTTGTATATCTCGGGTAGGGGGCGTGCGTGCCCTACCCACGCTGCTGTTGGCTACAGCTGTCAATCACTAGGTCTCGGCCGGAGATTTCCTGCCGTCACCCGGTGATTGCCGAGGAACAGTGACAGAGGAGAGGTCTGTATGTAAACAATACAGATTCCTCTCCTGTCAACTCCAGCACACTGCTTTGTATGGCTCTGCATAGCACAGCCATACAAAGCAGCGTGCTCACATAGTAAAACACAGCACGCAGTAAAATGCACACAGTTAACCCTTTGATCGCCCCAGATGTTAACCCCTTTCTTCCCAGTGTCAGTGCTTTTTATTAGCACTGATCACTGTATTGGTGTCACTGGGGAGGTCAGTGACCGTAACTTCGCGCCCCCCCCCCCCCACCCAGTGTCAGCCCACCACAGTCCTGCTATAAGTTGCTGATTGCCGCCATTACTACTATACAAAAAATGTATTTAAAAAAATGCTAGTGTGTGTGTATGTATGTGTGTATGTATGTGTGTATATGTATGTATGTATGTATGTATATGTGTGTGTGTATGTATATGTATATTACACCTCCATTTGTAGATGCTATAACTTTCAAGTAAACTAATTCACACATATTTGGGATTTTTTTTTTTTTCTTTCTAGCAAAGACCTGTAGCAGAATAAATTTTGACCTTAAAATTTTACAAAATTTTGATTTTGTCAAAATTTTGTTACTGGATTACTTTTTTTTTTTTTTTCAAAATTGTTGGTCTTTTTTTGTTTATAGTGCAAAAAATAAAAACCACACAGGTGCTCAAATACCACTGAAAGAAAGCTCCATTTGTGGGGGGAAAAAAAAAGGACAAAAATTTAATTTGGGTGCAGTGTTGCATGACTGCACAATTGTCAGTTAAAATAACGTATTACAAAAAATGGCCTGGTCAGAAAGGGGGAGGTAAATTTTCTGGATGGCAAGTGGTTTTAAAATATACCCATAAGCAAATATATGTGAATGAACTACCCAATACTAAGGATTCAGCTGATTGCAGTACACACTGAGGGAAAACACACAGTTGCTCACATTTAAAGCAAAAGACCTGATGGATCTTCCTATGAACATGTATCAATTTAGAGATTGTGACAAGTAGTATATCACACAGTCTAGGTGCAGGGAATACAAAGAATGTAGCTCATCTTTCTCTGTACTAAAAAGCAGGAAAATCTTTATTTTACAACATGGGTAAGTCTATGCCAGCCTTTTTCAACCAAGGTGCCCTGAGGTTTCTTCATGGGTGACTTGGCCAAATGTCTGAAAACTGGCCAATGCACAGCATCCTTCTTTGACCCTCCTTTGCCCCTCTCTGTCAGCACTGGGGTCACATTAGCTCAGTGATGGAGAAAAACTGAGGTAGAAGAGAAACATTGGAATACTAGTCAGTACCAGTGTACAAAGGTGTATTTGCTTTGGAAGAATACATCGCCTCTAACGTTGGGTGTCCTACGTGTATGGATGTTGCTGTGTTATATAGAACTATTAGAATAGTTTTTTTAGATTTTAGAATGGGGAGCCTCAAAACTTGTCCATAACTTTAGAGGGTGCCTCAACTGAAAATAGGTTGAGAAACACTGCTTTATGCTGTGTCTGGCTGCGGAACAATGCCTCACTCTCGCCTCCTTGTTTTCCAGATAATGAACTGAATTTTTGCTCTTGCTCTGATGTTTGGTGATACCTCACCATGTACATATGCGTGCGGGACTTACACTTGTTCACATTTGCACATGAGTAAGGGGTTGGAGGGGCTTTACATTTTGTTTTGTTTTTTTGTTTTTTTCTTCCCTACACTGTACCTTTTTATGCTTCATGCACACCAGCTTAAAACTAGCAGCTACTATGAGTTTTTGTTTTTTTTTTTTTTTTGTTTTTTTTTTTCCTGTCCCTAGAAGCAAAATGTTTCCATGTATGCTATTATAGGCTAGAAGCATTTTTCAAGCTTCAACTTCTAAGAGTGGGGAAAAAACCTTTTGTTTGCTTTTTTGGGAATGCTTTTAAACACCGGGTGCCACTTCCTTAAAGGAATACACATCGGCTGTCAACGGGGTTCCTCACGGACAGCTGCATGTAAACGAAAGAATTGGTAAATAAAAAAAAAAAAATAAGCAGTGCGGTCCCCCCCCCTCCTGATATCCATACCAAGCAACATGCAGGGAGGGGCTACCTGATGATGTCAACAGATGACCCTGCCCCCTGTCAATGACTAGGATGATGTCACAAGGGGGTGATGTCTCAAAGGTATCCCCGCCCCTTAGTTCATGTAGTGCCGCAAGGCAGCGGAGCTGCTGAACGGGAGGCAGCGTCTGGTGCAGCTTTTGTTTTTTTTTTTTTGTTTGTGGATATTTTTTTTTATTGGGCTCGGCAGCATGAATTCACTGCACGTGATGCTGGACTTTGGACTTTGTTTTCTGTTTTCTCCTTTAATAAAGGAATTGTTAGAAATTGTCTCTGTAGCCCATACTCATTCACATGTGGAGGGGCCGGGATCCGGGGGCTTCCAGATTCCAATAAACCTCCCACCAGCAGACCCCCACAACCACCGCCTCGGGTTGTCAGGAAGGATCTCGTATAACGTATTTTTTTTTCTTTTTATACTTTTATTATGTTGTTTTTTGTTTGTTTGTTTTTTTCACTGTATTCCTTGTAGGTAATTCCTTTGTGTACATTCAGCTGTCAGTGAGGATCCCCATGACATCTGCTGAGTCATCCATTGTTGAGGATGCGGTGGCTGGCTATTCACTGGTTGTTAAGGATCCCAGCGACCACCCACTCCTTTATAAAATGTTAGCACTCCCCAAACAACTTTGCTAAAATTTCCTAAACACTGCAAAATTGCTGGCAAAAACACTATTAGGTTACTTTTTTTTTAGTGGTTTTTGAGCGTCTAGTGTGCCAGAAGCCTATATTTTTTTTTTTTTTTTTTTTAATAAACTTAATTTAATGAACAACATCCCTTGTGATTGCATGGGCTGTGACAGGTCCTCTTTATGTCCCCAAAGCAATCTCGGTTTGATCAGATGCTTTACAAGCTGATAATGGCTTGTAAAAAAAAATAAACAAACTGGAAATAACAAAATCCTTGTCACTTCTGATTTCTGACATTACATATTAGGAGGAACAACAGCAGTCACTTTTCACTTTTACAATACAGGGAATTGCTGAATATAAAAAAAAAATATACATACCTCGATCGTAACTGCAGCAATATCCAAGATATCAGCACTACTTTCTGAGGACATATACAGTCATGACCAAAAATATTGGCACCCCTTTATTTCCGTCAGATAACGCACCGCAATTACATT